CCACGAGACCCTTATCACGTCCCACCATAGCTGAAGCGCCATCGGTTGTCAAGCCTACCATTTTCGACATTGGAGTTTTCTCTGAAGAAATAATATTTTTAAAAGAAAAAAACAAGTCCTGTCGAGGAGTCTGTCCTTTTAGTGGAATAAACTTCAAAATATCTTCTTTTATCGTATTCGTAAAATCACTAAAACCATCCTGACGAACATGGCCATTGAGAGGTGTCAACGACATATATGTGGATTCATCCAGTTGCAGTTGCTGTTATCATTTCTTAACTGTAAAACTATATCATTGCTCATTACTTCTACTCGTCTCATCGCTGTATTAGCAGAAAGTTGCATAGATTTTATAGCAGACACTATCTCGGCTTTATTTCTAAAGTTGGCAAATAATGGATCTGCAGCTTCTAAAAACGTCTATTTTATCATTTTCCCGTCTTCGTAAGGTTTCTTCTAATGTGTAATTATCTGGGACACCCAGTATGGTGCTTCAGTTGCAGGCTTACTTTTGTCGATTGTTTTTTAAAAACATTGTCTGGGGTCCAATTATCTGATTTTTCAATTGTTTCAGTTTTTCCGTTTTGGTTGCAGAACGTACCTAATGGGAATGATTTTTCAAAATTCAAATCTACCGTTTTATAGTGCCTCTCGATATTCCCTTTTTAGCAACCGAAACAGACATCTTTACCTTTAACTTCTGTAAAGAAATATTGTTCTTCCCATTCCGAATGGAAATGATATGTCTTCATCTTCTTACTACTGCTGATAATGTTTTTAATTGCAGGCCAACTGTAACCCATCCGCTGGACTTTGTGCCGTTCAGTTTTAAACTGAGCGCACTGTCGCCGCGCCTTGCATATTCCGTTCAAAGTAATCGAGATCGTTCTCAAACAGATCGCTCACTCCAGTGTTGCCGCTGCTTGTGTTAATTATGAGGACTTACAAAATTTACGGAAGGTTCTATAATTTTTACAGTATTTTAAAATATGTTTTGAGCCGCCAGAGTTGCCTTTGCGAGCTACCAGTGGCTCACGATCGACGGGTTGGCGACCATTGCTCTAAAGCTTCTCCTTAGTGCTAAAATCATACAAAGATATAAAACCAACGAGAGTAGCTATAAATTTGTGACGTCTGAAAATATTTTTACAACAATCAATAATTGATTGTTTAGCTTTGCGGCCTTAGTTGTCAAGCCTCGTAAGTAAAAAGTGTACCTTAACTTTGACTCAATTTGAGCATAGTAAACCTACTTACAAAAATAACTATTTTTAGATTTCCGTCGACATATGTTCGAAACTTTATCTTTGACACTTGCGTTTTGTTTTTAAAATTCACGTTTACATCAAAATACCGTCAGGCCTTACTCCTCTGAGCTCAGTAAAAAAAGTATTGCTTAGTGGGAGAATGCGAAACTTCTCATCAGATCACTGCTCTGTAGAGTGTTTGCTTATTGTCTGCCTAGCAGGACGAATGTCTTCAAAACTAAAATTACTACCTATGTGTATGCATATATGCATGAAGTTGTCAGCTTCTGTGATATATCGTCGTATTTATTAATATTAAATATTAATCATCCCTTACTTTAACCTCCCATTCGTCGGCAAGCGATTTGCTCTGGGTGGCCGAGAAGGTAAAAAATTGCCCTCCACGGAGTCGACCCGTATATTTTGACACCACTGTCTAATAAAAACATTATAAAATATAAGGGCTCGTTCAAAGTTTGAGGGCCACCAACGCTTTGCAAACAAGGAGCGTAACCCTAGGGATTATGGCGCGACACGTATTCCAGCAAGCAGCTCAATGCATATACAAGAAAGCGGTGAATTTTTTATGCTTGCAAAAGACTAAGCTTGACTCATCAATATATGATTACATTAGACTGCAGACTAAATAATAGAAGCGTCACTCCGTCTAAAAACAGTTTCAGATGAGGTGACAAAAATGATACCCCCATGCAATCTAGCCGAAATCTAAGTTCCAGGAGAAACTGTATGTTGGCAAATTACACTGAGAAACACAGGATTTGTGACATGACAATTTTTGGGTGTACCTTATATACAGGGTGTCCGCAAAGTTGGGGTTTTCCTTTTCAAAAACAACTACTCTTGAAATAACAAAGGTAATGTGTAGTGAAACGAGGGCGACCAAGTAAAAAAAATAAAGGAAAAAGTACTCACTCTCCAGTTGACGAGAAGGGCTAAGTACGTCTCTGCCCGAAATCATACCGCTCCAACAGAAAATAAAATCAGCTGATGCGATACCGAGCAGACGCCGGCGGTGGTGCAGACCACGAACAGAGGTAACAAATATGACCATCGTGCAGAAACCACATTGATTGTCTTACACTTAATGGCACATCTTCTAACAAGGAAGGCAAAATGTTGCGTAAAAAGTCTAGGTATTGCGTCCCGTCCAATCGATTTGGGAGAATAAATGGTCCAATGAGCATACCGTTCACCATGCCAGCCCAAACATTTACTGAAAATGTTTGTTGAAAATGTGCCCGACGGACATCGTGTGGACTTTCTACTGACCAAACATGAGTGTTGCGAAAGTTATTCACCCCATTACGCGTAGATTCATCTGTCACCAATATGCACTTCAAAAAGTCCGGATTATTGTCATGTTGATGCAACAGCCACTCACAAAACCGCACTCTTGCTGGAAAAGCGTCAGGTTGAAGGGCTTGTACACGTTGGACGTGAAACGGATACAGCCCCTCTTCACGCAGCGTTTGCCACACTTTAGTTTTTGATACTTGCACTTCTCTAGCCACGTCTCTAGTGCTTGTTGTTTTTTGAAACGCAATCGATTATACGGGTTCGTTTACCTCTACACGTGTGACCGTAACCGTCGGTTGAAGGTCACATACTGACCTGACACACTGACCCCGACCCAGTTGTCGTCGGGTTGAGCTAGTGTCCTAGTACCACTCGGAGATGTCGCGAGTCGCGGCTCCTGGACGGTATTTAGATATTTTTGATGTTGCAGAGCCCTTTATCTCGGTTCCCTTAAGACATTGGTGTATATGGTACTAAGAAAAATTGCTTATGTTTTCAAGATGTACACGTCGTGTAAAGGAAAACCCCAACTTCGTGGACACCCTGTATTTTGAAATCCTTAAATCAAATCTAAAAATAAAAGTTTTCTATAACCCACAGATATTCGGTAACATCTACTTTAATGAATACGTATCATCTGTTATAATGGATATGGATGGGCCATATGTGCAGATTTAAAGGTAATAGCCCTTCTTCTTGGAAGGCAACTGGGATATACCAAATATTGTTGTTTTCTTTGGGAATGGGACAGTTGTGCGCGAGATCGTCATTATGAACAGAAGGAGTGGCCACTACGTCAGGTATTAACTACGGGTCTCTAAAACATTTCTCCACTAGTTGATCCCAAATACGTGTTGCTCCTGCCTTTGCATATTAAGTTGGGACAGATGAAAAATTTTGTGAAAGCTATGGATCGAAATGGAAGAGGGTTTTTGCATTTAAAACAAACATTTCCGAGACAGTCAGTCAAAACCTAAAGAGGGCATATTTGTGGGTCCACAAATACCGTAAATCATGAAAGATGATGTATTTGACAGTGCCCTAGATGAAACTGAATTACGAGCTTGGAATGCTTTTAAATCAGTTACTGCAAATTTTTTAGGCAATGTGAAGGCGGACAATTATAAAGATATTGTGAGTGAACTAATTAATGCTTATAAAGGAATGGCATGTAACATGTCTCTAAAAATACACTTTTTGGATTCTCATCTCGTATTTTTTCCGGAAAATTGAGGTGCGGTAAGTGATGAACATGGTGAATGGTTTCTGCTATGGAAAAACGGTATTAAGGCAAAGGAGTGCCAATTTGCTTGTTGAGTATTGCTGGACATCGTTGAGAGATACTTCAGGAGCAACATATCGCCGTAAAACATCGACAACAACATTCTGACATTAATGTTTATTCGAGTGCTTATTAGTACTGTTTCACAATTTTTTTTATACTCCAACTACCACGAACGCCTAGGGCCTAAGCACCCATTGGGTACCGTGGGGCTATAGAGGGATACATGGGAAAGGGGGAGCGCCACACGGACTCTGGCGAGGGAACACGTGTGCATGCAACATGCACACATTCTGGCTCCGCCTACGAGATCCGCCGGGTGGTACCTCCGCGTTCGACAGTCAGAGACCGTCTACCACCTACGGACAATCACAACATCCATAGCCAAGAGAAAATTTTTTCCTGGGACGGGACTCGAACACGCACAGCGCACGGCGACTGATCAGGAGACCGACATACATATCGTTATAGTTTACGAGTATAAGCAGCAAATAACTCATGTCTATGTCACAAAAAATTATTCTAATTTTGTTCACCGGTGTTATTATTTAAATAGGATTAGTGAACGAGCGTTTGAGTCATGCCATCAAAAAATGGCCCGATTCAATTTTTATTTGTCAGGAATAAGGTTGAAGATCATTTTTATTAATTTATCGCTAAGCGAATAAAGCCTGGCCCCTTTTTTCAGCCCTTGAAGACCCACAGATTGAATTATTGAACACCAAAATCGCTGGAAGAATTTTCAAATTATTGCAATACAACCACCATAAATCTGGTGATTTACTACTAACCTTGATCACCTCTGTTCGCACGACACTGACGTAACCCTGTCACGAGTATAAGTTCTTGATACTGTATAATATACATATATAAATTTCCAATCTAAATATCTTGGATTTTTGTTTTTATTGCAGTTTCTTTGAAAAAAAATGGTTTTTATTTAGATGTTTCACAGCTCAGGTAAGTCCTACGAATGCCGGCTGGTGCTTATTTTATAGGGAAGGTATTGTAACGGCACGATGGTAAAACAGAAATGCCTGTGACGTATAAGAATATAAAAAGTTATTCCTGAACTTGAATTAGTAAAATTTTACAATTCACTGATAATGAATGCGGTAATTGGTCAATCTTTTTTTACAATCATTGTTATTAAGTGAAGCCATTCCATTGCCTACTTGGAAAAAAATTGATTCTCCAGGTGAATTGGCGGACGAGGAGATGATGATAGATATTCAAAATATCGCCAAAGGTTAATTATAAATATTAAATCTACGATAAGGTCAGGATATAAATTTTGATAAAAAGATACAGTATGCGATTACAGGAAATAAAATATGCACCACCTGAAAAAGGTTCAATAATTTGAACGAATTACGATTGTTGTATTTTTTGTATTCAGTTGGAAATAAAACATAGTTTCAACATCCATTTACCTCCAGCATAAACAAAACTTATAAAATGCACCAATTGATTACAATAGATCTGATCTTCATGTATTCCTACAATGACATTTAAATCTATATTACTATCAGTAGCTGCAGCCAGTAAGGGCGTGCGGATACCATATTTTATTTGTTTTACTGATTCTAAAGTCATCAAAGAAGTACAATGGAAAGGGTACAAACTCACAGCCATACAGATACTTATGATGATACAGAAGACAAACACGAGTATCATGCGAAAGAAAGAAGATTGGAGCGTAATCAACAGGCTAATGAAATATGACTTTGATAAACGGTGACTTTTATGCACTTAAAGTTATTTTTTGTTCTTGGAGCAAGGTTACTGTGTGGCATTAAGGGATATCTGAAAGTTATATAAAAATGATTATTTATTCAAATTTTATTAACCGTAATTTCAGACTGACAGCAAATAATTTATCAAAATTTATATCCTGATCAATTATCGCATTTATTTTCATTGTAATTTAGGCGGCCACCAAAACATGGAGAAGGATAAACGCTGCCTCTGAATCCAAACACAATATATATATATATATATATATATATATATATATATATATATATATACCATTAATTGTTAATTGGGAAATTGGCAAACTTTTTTACTCATTAGTTAACTCTTTTGATGATAGTATCGAGCTTTCGGCAATTCTCTATGGAGCCTTCATCAGGATTCGTTATTGAGGTTGCAGGCAAATGGTGTTTCAAAACGAACACGGAGACGAGAGCACTTGTTACAAATATAAAAAAAATCGAACGGATACATTGAGCTTATTGATAACGATGGATAGCATCATTATGTGTTATCACAATAAATCAATACACCCAAACATATTAAATTTTTTTTAAATTAACGAGAAGCAATTTTGGGGACAAAATCTGAATGTAGTTTCTAACCTCCTAGGAGGGACATTTCCAGGAATAAAGGTTTGGATAGTTCGTTTTCTGTATCAAGAACTTTGATACTTGTGTAGTTCATGAAGTTCCCTGTTGTATTGACATGTGATGCCAGAGCACATCTCTCGGGATGAAGTCTAGAGTCACCATTGTGTGATGTAAGGGTAGGTTGCAATTATTACAATTGATGGAGTAAACTGTGTTGCAAGGGGCTCTGTCTTTCATCTTTGGAAAAATACAGTTTATAGTGAGGACAGATTTGCAAGCAATTCGACAGTTCAACGAGCTACATAGTCTGATTAGCTTAGGGGTCAGTTCTTTGATTCCGGATAAATATGCTCGGAATCCCAGGCATACTAGATGGGGGTCCTTTAGGGCAGACATTGACAGTAAGCTTGGAGCGGTCCCATACAGGCTTTGCAGGGGCTCTGACATACAAGCAGCTGTCGAGTCTCTGAGCAGGGACTTGACGGCTGCATATGAGGAAAACTGCCCGTTACGCAAAGTCCAAGGTAAGGGCAAGGCAACCTTCTGGACCAAAGAATTAGAGGATAGAAAACGAGCGGTGCACAAACTTCTTAGCAGAGTTAAGCACAGGAGAGGTTCTCCTCTATGGGAAGAATACAAAAAGGCATTGCAGGAGTACAAAAAGGAGATTAGAAAGGCCTCCAGAGAATCCTGGAGGCACTTCTGTCAGTCCATAAATGACATTCCTGCTACTGCAAGAATACACAGAGTCCTATACAAAGACATTAAAGCAAGATTGGGATCTCTGCATGATCCCTCGGGGGGGAATACTACTTCTGAGGAAGGTACTCTGAGGCTTCTGATGGATATGCACTTTCCCGGTTCCACAGTAGCGCGATCAATCACAGAGTGCATGCAGTTGCGCAGGCCCTCAAGGGAGGACTGGCGCACGGCTAGGGAGATTGTCACCTTCGAAAGGACGGTATGGGCAGTAGATTCGTTTGCACCATACAGAAGTCCAGGTCTGGACGGCGTATTTCCGGCCATGTTACAGCAGGGACGGATTTCGGTTGTTCCTTACCTGTTGAATGTGTTTCGAGCATGTGTGGCCACGGGCTTCACACCTAGAAGCTGGCGGCAGGCTAAAGTGGTATTCATTCCTAAACCGGGCAGAGATAGATATACTGGCCCGAAGGATTTTCGACCGATTACTCTACTTAAGGGATGGCCCGCTGGAAAGGTGTGTCATTCATGCAAATCAGTTTGCATACCAAGATGGAACATCGACTGATCTGGCCTTACACAATCTGGTCGGTAGGCTGGAGAAGACTCTAGATCAGCGAGAAGTGGCACTCGTGGCCTTCTTGGACATTGAAGGTGCGTTTAATTGCACCACAACCGACTCTATCAGACAGGCCTTGGTTAGACACAGGGTTGGATCAATCCTAATAGATTGGGTCCTCTCTACTCTGGAGGGTCGGGTAACAACAGCTATGCTGAATAACGTAAGCTGCAGCGTGAATGTAGCTAGAGGCTGTCCTCAGGGCAGAGTTCTGTCACCCCTAATGTGGTGTATCGTGGTGAACGAACTCCTCGTTAGGCTCAGCAGTATGGGTGTCTATGCGCAAGCCTATGCTGATGACGTAAGCATAGTAGTAGTGGAATCGTGGTGTAGGGAAGTCGATCTTTCTGTAAATGCTGAAAAGACCGAGCTGATCCTATTCACTAGGAGAAGAAGGCTTGACGGAGTGGTCATGCTGACCTTCTTTGGGACTATATTAGTTTTGTCCCCGTCTGTGAAATATCTGGGAATTATCCTGGATTGCATACTGAACTGGAGAGAGCATGTGGAATACAAGGTTAGCAAGGCTCGCAATTCGATGTGGGCTTGTAGACGTGTTGTCGGGGTAAGGTAGGGGCTTAAACCCAAAGTGGTATACTGGCTCTACACGACGATAGTACGTCCATCTCTCTTATACGGCTCCCTGGTCTGGTGGCCTTGCATTAGAACTGAGTCAACTAAGGCCAAACTCAATAAAATTCAGCGTTTGGCCTGTATTAGCATTACAAGCGCGATGCGAACAACGCCATTGAGTGCAATGGAAGCTCTGTTGGATCTCCCACCGTTGGATCTGGTGATCCGCGGTGAAGCGAGAGTAGTCGCTCATCGACTGTGGAGTCAGGGCAGCTGGTCTTTCTTGAATCCTGTCAAGGGGCATACTGCCATCTTAGTCGAATTAGAAAGCGAGGACCCCGTCCTTCTAAGCAGGGGTGATCGTATTACCCCTAAGTATCGCTTCAACCGCAAGTTTATTGTGGAGTATCCAACAAGGGAGGAGTGGGACGCCGGTAGCCGGGGACTCTCCGAAGTGAGCGGGCAGGTCTGGTACACGGACGGATCGTTCACCGAAGAGGGCTCAGGTGCTGGGGTCTCTGAGCCTAGAACTAGGCTATCTCTGCCTCTCGGTGGATACACCACCATTTTCCAGGCGGAAGTCTCTGCGATTCTGGCTTGTGTATCTTACATTCTGGAGGAGGGTGGGCCTAGGAGAAGAATAACAATCTTATCCGACAGCCAGGCTGCAATGAAAGCACTAAGTGCCTGTAAGATTACTTCGAGTCTTGTATTGCAATGCAGGGAGGCTCTGGATTGCCTCGCAGCGAGGCATCCGGTATCGTTAATATGGGTACCGGGGCACGCTGGGATAAGGGGCAATGAGACGGCGGACACTCTGGCGAAAACAGGATCAGCCAGCAAGCTCGTTGGTCCTGAGCCAGCTCTAGGAGTAACCGCGCATAAAGCTAGGAGGAAAATAGAGACGTGGGTTGCAAGACAACACTCTCAGAAATGGAGAAGTATCTCTAGACATCTCCGCCAGGCACGAGAGCTCATTGAAGGGCCCAGTGCTAAGGATGGACGCTTCTGCCTATCTCTGGGTAAAGCCAACCTAAGGTTGCTGGTGGGACTGTTGTCTGGCCATAACACGTTAAGGCGTCACCTGCACGTGATGGGGGTGGCTGAGGATCCCTTGTGCGAACGCTGCGGAGTAGAGGAAGAGACCTCGGCGCACGTTTTGTGTCGCTGTGAAGCTCTGAGCTACTATAGGCAGACTATACTGGGGTCCATTACTTTGGACCCTCAGGACGTCAAGGAGCTTGGACTCAAGGCGATTCTCAACTTCGCTAAAAGGGCGAGGCTTGTGATTTAAGTATTGTAGAGGTGCGTAAGGGCCCGCTTACGCGGCCTATGCACTGGCTCCTTATGGTGGCCGGGATGCCTCTAATTTTAAGATTCATTCATTCATTCTTTGATGCTGTGTAGAACAGCAAAACCAGATCTGGAATTTGGGATGGCGATTATATTATTATTGGAATTGGTGTTGTTGTTGGGAATTATATCAGTTCAATTATTAGGTATTGTGAGAATATTATTTGGATTATTAGTATTTGGTAAAATACTGGAAAGAGAGCTGAACAAGATCTTGTTAATCAAACACTTCGGATAACCATTGTTGATGAACAGTTTTGATAGCTTCCGTAAGTTTGAAGTATGTAAAGTATTGTCAGAGATGCTAATTACCCATGTTTTTATCTGCTTCACCAAGTTTATTTTAATCCTTAGTTTATGGTATGATCTGAAGTTGAGAAAAAGGCCTGAAGACACGGGTTTCTGGTACCAGTCTACCAATAAACTATTATTGTTGGTGCGGATGAATATTGAAAAATCTAGAAAAGGGACAGACAGGTTCTCATCTTCTTTTTCAATGGTAAATTGGATGTAGGGGTCATAGCTGTTGAAATCTTCGACAATACTATCTAAACCTCTGGAGGGAAAGTACAAAATAATGTCATCTACGTATTTTTTTACCCTACATCAAACAACTTTTCAAAGATGAAAGAGTCCCGTTGCTTGGCTTAACCAACACAGTTTACTCCATCAATTGTAATAATTGCAACCAAATATACATAGGTCAGACTTCCAGATCTCTAAAAGGAAGGATAACATCACACAAAAGTGATTATAGACGTCATCTCGAGAGATGTGCTCTGGCATCTCATATCAATGCAACATGGCACATTATGAACTACACAAGTATCATAGTTCTTGATAAAGAAAAATACTTATCCAAACGTTTATTCCTGGAAATGTCCCACATTTTCAAGAATAACAAATTTATGAATAAAAAGACAGATGTAAACCAACTGAGCGTCATTTACTCATATTTGCTAAACTGCGAAAAGTTGGAGCACTTACACATCTCTCCAAATTTTGATTTTTCACAACCATAAATGAAATCTGTTTTTTTGGCCTGTTCCATCCTTTTCCTCCAAAATTACATCCCATTAAAATTTGAATAATTAATGTTTTTTCTCATAATAAAATAATTGTTTGATTCAATTGTCCATTTCATTA